CTCTGAACATAAAGTCATATCCCTGGAAGTTTATTTCCGAGACAGGTGAACTTGTACTCCTCTTCTCTCCATCTGGATCACCTTCCAAAGAAGACGTTGACAACATGACTTATTTTAGCTCCACCCAATTCTTTCAGCCTTAACTTTTTCTTTCATGTGAAACAATTTCTTCATATAAAGCTTTTCTTCCTTAATTAGTTGAGTCATCTAAACTACACCTGCTAATCTGGCCCCCTTTGCCTCGCTTTATAAAGTACTAGCACCCTATATATTTTTTTTTCAATTTCACAAAGAAGAGTTCCCAATTTTAAATATTTCTATTTGTTGCTTTCCACAGAGGTTGTACTAGTTTGCAGTCCCACTGGCGATGTAGGAGTGTTCCTATCTCTCCGCATCCACACCAACATTTATTGTTTTGGGACTTTTTGATAAAGCCATTCTTACTGGAGACAGGTGATATCTCATTGCAGTTTTGATTTGCATTTCCCTGGTGATTAGAGATGTTGAGCACTTTTTCATATATTTGTTAGCCATTATTCTGTCTTCTTTTGAAAAGTTTCTGTTCCTCTCCTTTGCCCACTTTTTGATAGGGTTGTTTGATTTTTTTCTTGCTGATTTTCCTGAGTTCTAAATAGATTCTAGTAATCAGCCCCTTATCAAAAATTTTCTCTCACTCTGTAAGTTGTCTGCTTGCTCTTGTGACAGTTTCTTTGGCTGTGCAGAAGCTTTTTAGTTTGATCAGGTCCCATTTATTGATTTTTGTTATTGCTGTGATTTCCCTTGAGGTCTTCTTCATAAATTCTTTGAAAGTGATGCAAGTAGATTTACCATTTGATCCAGCAATCCCACTAGTGGGCATCTACCCAAAAGAACAAAAGGCACTATAAAAAAGACACCTGCACTCGAATGTTTATAGCAGCACAATTCACAATTGAAAAGTTGTGGAAACAACCAAATTGCTCATCAATACATGAGTGGATATAAAATGTGGTATATGTATACCATGGAGTACTATTCAGCTATCAGAAACAATGGTGATATAGCACCTCTTGTATTTTTCTGGATAGAGCTGGAACTCATTCTACTAAGTGAAATATCCCAAGAATGGAAAAACAAGCACCACATGTACTCACCAGCAAACTGGTATTAATGGATCAACACCTAAGTGGGCATGTAGGAATAACATTTATCGGTGTTGGGCAGATGGGTTGGGGGAGGAGGGAATGAATATATACATACATACATAACGAATGCAATGTACACCATCTGGGAGATGGTCATGCTTGAAGGTCTGACTCAAGGGAAAGGGCAAGGGAAATATACATAATCTTAACATTTGTATCCCCATAATATGCTGAAATAAGTAAATCAATAAATATTTCTATTTGTTTATACATAATAAATCCACTCCCAGGAAGTTTCTTTTTTACAATGTCAGATATGAAAGAGTGTTTCCTGCCTACTTTTTCATTCAGTAAAATGGTTTTTATATGAAAACTAGAAACACATTGTTTGAACATCTAAAGTTAAAAATGAATGATTGGAAAATGCCAGCCAAATGTCACCCATCCAACATATTTTACATATTCTTAGTTGCTTAAACACTTCACTGGCCAAAAAGGTAAATTACTTTTAAATAAACAAAGGGAACTGTAAGTCTATGTTAAAACAATATTAATTTTCTAAGAAATTTCTTAGCTCTTATTGCATCTCAGAACTTGAAAGCAGCACTACATAAAATAACTTATTTTATTAATATTTTTCCTTTTTACTAAATTACAAGAATTGGCATAACTTCATACCAGAAGAACTAACATACACAAAATCATCCTATAAGCAGAAACAATTATATTCCCAAGATCATTGCTGTTTTTTCTAGTCTTGCTCACATGAGTTTGCATACTTGGATTTGTCTCTTCTTCTTCTTAAGAAATAGGAATTGGTATAAAAGCATGTGTTTTTCCATATCTCCAAATAATTTTCACTGTTTATTATGATTCTTCTCCAAATACTGAATTCATAAAGAAACATTACACTCCAATTAATTACCAAAGCCACATGCAGTACATAAGTATACTCTCTGATTGCCAGATTAGCTTGTTATTTTGGTTGCTTGAAAATACCTGCCTTTAGTCTTAGGCTTAAAACCAAGATAGAGAAAAATAAAGACCATAATTGCCATTCTGTCTTATGTTCCTACTGATTTTTGTATTCTTTTTTTATAGTTGACACTTTTTCCTTAATTAGTTGAATCATCTAAACTACACCTGCTAGCCTCATAACACTTATAAATGATCAGCTTTCAATTAGGTACACATTTTGCTTGTTTAATATACTCTACATTCTGATTCCTGTTGTTTGTTTCTTTACCTTATTCCAATGTCAGCCTTTCTCTTCCTCTAACATGCACATTCCCTTCCCTTTTTAGGTCACAATTATGAATGTGTACAATTCATTCTGACTGCAGAGACTGTGTTGGTGTATTTTTAAGCACTAGGGATTATAAATGAATTTGGCAATTATTTAAATTGCTTCTGTTCATTGGTTATTTCCTATTGTATAACATGGGAAAGACAGGTAAGATCAGGTTCAAAAATTGGTGAAGCTTTAGGATAAATTCCACCCGCAGAATTGTTTGTGTGTGTAATATATTTTGTCTTAATGCTAAATTTTCTTTCCTTAAAATAGGGATCTTTTATCTTCAGGTCACCATAGGACCCAATCTACTCTATTCTGTTATATCAAGTTCAGTGCACATATTTATTGCCTTTCTGGCCCCTGTAGGCATCTAAGTTTGCAACTCCCTAAGCTAGAAGAGAATTAAAGTTCCATTGAACCACAGGAAGCTAATAAACTAAAGGATTTCTATTTTATGGCATATTCAATTTCATCACTGATTTGTTATTAAACATTAGACTATGAAACCGAGATATTAGGACATTAAATGTGGACAAACAATATAGGTCTCATTAGCCTACAAGGGGAGCAATGAAGGATCTCATTTAATTTGTGGAAAGTTGGATAGCAGAAACTCTGCAAATGAAATTAAGTGTTATGCCTCATTGAATGAGCTTAGAGCTCTCCAAGGGGAGATCTAAGTTCTAGTATACAGCAAATAACAGGCATTGCCTTTAATTTAGCTGTAATTTTGAGATGGTTAGTTGGCAAAAGATATTGAAAAGAAGGATGTAAATGATCTAACCCTGAAGGAAGCTGAGAAGTGTCCATGTCAATATAGCTTTCAAGGATTCAAACTGAAATAAAAATATGCTAGATTTTTATTTTTACTTTCCATTTACTTTCCAATTCCTGTCCCCCATATCTCTCTCAATGAACCTTGATTTATGTTTTGGTGAGATTCTCAATCAGACTTCTCCTCTCAAAATTTTCAATGATCCATTTTTAAAACTACTTTAATCATTATTTGACATTTTCTGTTCTAACATCACTTTGGCACATATGCTGATTTCTGTGAATCAGAAATTTGGGGACATACTGAAGTATATGCCAATTTCACTCAGCTTATCTTAAAAATCTGTCTTAAAAGCATATGCAACCTGTGAAGGGCAGGTTATGAGGTAGAGATTGCCAATGGGGCAAAGTAAAGGTGGCAGATGGCTCTTCGGGTGAAAACTGTAGCAACCTCACACTCTCTTCAGCTTAATCACTCTCTGTCTACTGTAATCATTTTATAATTTTAAAATAACTTTCACAGAAAAAGTCTATATAAAATGAAATCATTAAAATGATTATAAAATTATTAAAAAATTATAAAATGTTCTCAGATATTTTGTTAATCTAATAATTTAAGACATGACAACAATTTAAGTGCTATAGCAGCAGAGTAGTCATGACTGTATTTTTAGACATAAAAGCTAACCTGGGGAGAATATTTTCCCCACATTTTCTATGAATTGAAAATTCTTAAGGAGTGTGATTATTAAAACAACAAAACCATTGGGGTGCTCTCATATCCACAGAGAAAGAATTGTTGGAAATGGTATAATTATATACCTTTAATGACATTCCTTATAGTAACAGAAGGTTTTACTACTCTTACATATATTCAAAATAGCTTTAGAATCACGCATCCACTGCCCACATTAGGATGCCAATGCTCCCTGTATTGTACATAGGTGACAATTGACTAATCGTCTTAGGGAGCTTATATATGTGTATAAATATGTGTGTATGTATGCATGTATGTGTGTACATGTACATATATACATATATAATATATGCATATATATTATATGATATAGAATATATATATCATAATCAACCATATCTTCATGTTCAACAGTTCAACCAAGTTTGTCTTTGTTGCTACTTAATAATTTATTTACTTTGGCCAAAGTTGTGTAAGATTCAATTTTGGAATCTTTTTCTACACTAAAAGAAGCAGAAGCCACCCCAACACACACACACACACACACACACACACACACACACACACACACACAAATGTTACACTTCTATTCATTCTGAAAAAGTATAAATTACAACCATCTAGAAATTAATTACTTATAAAGTTTAGATTTATTACAGTAACGGCCAATATTTTTAGTCTCAATGTCTGTCTGATACTAGGTGTAGAAAACAGCTATATTTGCAACATTTACATATACAGTGAATAGTTAGAATTGGCCAGTAATTTGCACACACTTTTTTCTAAACAACACATTATCCCTTTAAAGTAAATATATACCCCTGTTTTACAAACAAGGAAATTGAAGCCTAAGGAAATTAAGGAACTTAAGTAAAATTCACAAAGTTCCAAATATGAGAATTACGTTCTTTAACATGATTTGATGACATAATGGTTTCAAAAAGAAATTTTGTGGGGCAAAGGCTTCCTAAACACATCACCCTCACAGGTTAGAATCATTTATTATTCATCCTCTTAAACTCTGTAATTCTTCAATGGCTCATCTCAATTTGTAATTAAATAATCACTTTTTATTGTCTCTCTTTCTGGATTATAAATTTCATGAGAGCAGAATTGTGTACATCTTGCTGCTGTAGCATTTCAGCTTTTAGAATGGTGCTGGCATACAGTAAGTACTCTATATATTTGTTAATGAAATAATTGAATGATTATGCAGCGAGTCCCTAATAGGTGGGTGGGTTTCCCACGATGTGAGATGATTCTCACAGTTTAGATAACGTTTGGTCACAATTGTGGAAATGGTAGTTTTGATAAAATGATGTGCTGTGATAGCAATTGATCCTCAGTTTATGATGGCACTGCTTAGTTTTCGCGAAGATTTCATCTGAATTTCTTGGGGAATGAAGACAGTTGTCATCAACTGCTTAGCATTTGCAGAACAGAGATACATGCCTTATATCAGCATATTGTCACAGAAAAGAGTACCTTTATGTCTTTCAAGCATGAGTAACCAAATGTTATGTGACATTATGATAATATAATTATATTAGATAAAAATTATATTTATGGTGTGCCTGAAACTGTGCTCAGTCTCCTTTAATCCTCACAATAAGTACTGTAATATTATGATATGCTGTATTAATTCATCACTTTTGAAGATAAAGACACTAAAGCTTAGAGAGGATATGAACAAGATGGTAAATGGTAAACTGCTCTTTAAATCTAGGTAGCCTGTCATGAGAGAGGGGCTGCTGGCTGCTACATTGCACCATTATTAAATAACATGAATTTCAATAGTGTGTTATATTCTACAAATTATTTCTCACTGGTAATGTCTTAAGGAATGGACTGCATCCATATGAGGGAATTCATAAAAAGTAATAATAAAGTAAGGATATTATTAACTTTCTCCCTTGCCTTACAGGAAGAGACCAAACATATGCTGATATATTCTGACTGCCTCTCTCCAAAAAGGTGATGTGAATTATTGTGATGGATAATTTACATAGTTTATGTTGTTTGGCATTTTAATGATATACAATAAGGAATTAAATTGGAATACTATGCTACAGAAAAAAAAATCTATATTTTATTAAATTCATCTTCCTTTTGAACTTTTTCTTGAGCAGTAGATTACCTTTCTCCATAGAACTTTAAATTTAGTGGCAATGTGGTGAGCTAGAGATTTGAGAAGGGCAGTGGACTATAGGTATCCTTTGATAGAATCATCATAGGATAGAACAGTGTATACCAATGACATTCAAAAAGTAATAAAAGCAAAGCGTCAGACCGAATTCCCAAGCACTGAGAAAAAAATGATGCTTTCTTTTCTGTGTTATGCAATCCCTAACTGAAAAAGCCAGAACCTGGAAAACATTGACAGCATTTTTTTGTACCATTAATACCTCCAGGAGTGGTATATAATCTGGGAAAGGTAGTGAATATAAGAAAAAAACAAGGAGAGGGAGGGAAGTGGGAGAAAGGAATAACACTCTTTGAATTATTATATATATTTATTGAAATATAATTGACATAAAATAAGCCATACAGATCTAGAGTAAACAATTTGATAAATTTTGACACAATACATACCCATGAAACCATCGCAACAATCAAGATAATGAACATAACCATCATCAGCAAAAACATTCCTCATCTCCATCACAACCCTTCCTTCTATTTTGTCTGATATCTTTATTCAGAATAATTACTTTGGATTCATCTGACAGCTCATCTCTTTTGCTGCTGAGAGGTATTCCATTGTATGTCTTTGCCACAATTTGTCTGTCTACCTAAGCTGTTGATAGATAATTTGAGTTGTTTCCAGTTTGAGCTATTAGAAATGAAGCTTCTATGAGCATTTGTGTCTAAGTCTTTGTATGGATGTATGTTTTTATCTCTCTTAGTAAATATCTAGAAGTGAAGCAGCTAGGTTATAGAATGTCTATTTGGTTATTGTATGTCTATTGAATGGTTATTGTATGTCTATTTCTTTTCATTAGTAGATTTTTCTTTATCAGTTTGAGGTTTACAGAAAAAAAAATTGTGAAATATGCAAAGAGTTCCCACAAACTTTCTTAGGTTCCTTCCCTGAATTTCCACTATGTTAAATATCTTACCTTAATGTAGTTTATTTGTTAAGATTGGTAAGTCAATATTGATGTGTTATTATTGACTAAAGTTCATAGTTTACATTAGGGTTCACTCTTGGTGTTGTACATTCTATGGATTTTGACAAGTGTGTAATGACATGTATCCACTATTACAGTATCATACAGAATAGTTTCACTACCCTAAAACTCCTCAGTGCTCTTCTTATTTATCCCTTTCACATGAATTATTGAGGGGAAAATTGATGGAGAAATTTTACAGATGGAAAGATATGATATTTTGTCTCTGGAGGAGAATCAAGAGTGAGCAGGAAGACGGCAGAGGTTTGGGAGAAGTCGTTGAAGGAGTTTCAGAGGCGTTCCTCATTAACAGTACTAAGAATTGTGAAGTGAGTAATGGCCCTTTGTCCATTTTCAGTAGAGAATGGAAGATTGAGGGTTAAATTACTGAGCATTATGTACACTGCACTAACTGGGCCAGACTCAAGCATGGAATTTGCTACTCCTCCTGGGAAATACATTGTCAGGCAAAATGGAACACAGGGATCATTTTTAAATGAACAATTAACATTTTAAAAGCCTAATTTCACCATGGTGGACTGCTGGAATATAATAATATTTCATAAAGAAATAAATTAACTAAATGGTCTTTGATAGATTGTTCTAGAATGGAGAGCTCCAGAGTCTGCATTTTACACCCTGAACTTCTATCCTAGGCCATTTTCATAGATCAGGATATGGAAATAGATAGCATCTTATTTTAATGTATGAATTATGGCTTCATAGGATGTTTTTAGAGGTCCTGGGACAACTTCTGTCCCCTCACATATCTCCTTCTTTGGTTTGTCACACTGCTCTCCTATAATTTGAGAGATTAATTGATTTGATTTAATTTGTAGATATTTGGAGTTAATATGTGTGCCTTTTTATGTGCTTCAGTATCATTCAATTTGTTCCATTCTTTCTTAGCTGAGGCACTGATAGAATAAGGGGATTAGTTAGGAGGGAGGAAGGCATGAAATGACATTATTTTAGAATGCTGGGAAAGTCTAACATGGTCAGGTCTTTGGAAAAATGTTACAGCGACTGGAGGACAGTATAAGGACATTAGGTCTCCTGAATTCAGGTAAATAAAGTCTCCAATGGTGGAAGAAGAAAGCCCAAGGGAAAATGAGAATGCAGTAAATAATATACTGTGTCTGTCAGAGGACTGCATAGGACTAACACTGGACATAAGACTCACACTAAGTTTACTTCATTCTGCCATGAAGACAGACAAAAGATGAAAGTATGTACAAAAGACAGTGTACATTTGTGAATGACACTCCAATGTATCCCTCATCATCATTCATCTTGCTTTCTACCTCCAAGAGTTTCCATCTAAATGTATCGCATATTTCCAGAAAACGGGAAAAGCAGCAGGGACTGACAGAGCAGGACATAATTAAAAGGTATTTGAAGCAGATGTTGACCATGTCCAGCCCTACCCACACCCCTCATATCTCTTGGGCTGATTGACAATTGTCAGTACATTCACCTGTTTCTGGGGGGTATTTTTCATATGCTGTAACCGCAAGTATCAAGAAATTAATACTCTTTTCCCTCCTCCTTAGCACTCCCCAACCAAAGACTCCCTGGTTCCTTAAATTGAGTTAAATTTGAGGCATATTACCAGGTTCTAAATGGTAAGGAATGGAAGGAGGTACTCAGACAAAAGGATTTTTCTTTGTTTTATTAGAGAAATATTATTTTTTTTAATTTCAGGAATAGAAGAATGAATAAAGAAAGTGTTTTATATATACACAATGGAATACTATTCACCTTTAAAAAATAATATTTCTCCAGGAATAGTATTCCACTGTGTATATATAAAACACCTTTTTAATCCATTCTTCTACTGATAGATCCTTAGGTTGATTCCATATCTTAGCAATTGTCAATAATGCTGCAATGAACATGGGGGTGCAGATATGTTTTTAACATATTGATTTCATATCCTTTAGATATATACCAAGTAGTATGGGATTGCTGGATCATTTGGTAGGTCTAGTTATTATTCCTTGAAGAATCTTTATATCATTTTTTAAAGCTTGTGCTAACTTACATTTCCAACAACAATGTTCAAGGGTTTCTTTTTCTGCACATCCTAGCCAAGACTTGTTATCTTTCAGCTTTTTAATAATAGCTCTTCTAACTGGTGTGAGGTAATATTTCATTGTAGCTTTAAATTGCATCTCTCTGTTGTTTCTATTGATTAGTAATGTTCAGTACTTTGTCATATATGTGTTGGCTATTTGTATGTCTTCTTTTGAGAAATGTCTATTCAGGTACTTTGCCTATGTTTTAACCAGGATATTTGTTTTCTTAATATTGAGTTGTTTGAATTCCTTATATATTTTGGATATTAACCCTTATCTGATGTGATTTGCAAATATATTCTATTTCTTAGGTTTGTATCTTCACTCTGTTGATTATTTCCTTTATAGAAGCATCTTATTTTGATGTAATCCCATTTGTCTATTTTGGGTTTTGTTGACTGTATTTGGGGGTAATATCAAAACAATTTTTGACCAGATCAATGTCATGGAGCCTTTTCCCTGTATTTTCTTCTAATTGTTTTATAGTTTCAGGTCTATGTTTAGGTCTTTAACCCACTTTGAGTTGATTTTTGTAGATGGTGTGAGAAGAAGGTCTATTTTAGTTCTTTTGCATGTTGATATCCAGGTTTCCTAGTACCACTTATTGGAGAGACTGTCTTTCACCATTATGCATTGTTGGCATCTTTTGTTTTCTTTTTGTAATTTTTGTTTTTTAATTGTCAATTGACATATTATAGCTGTATATATTAATGGGATACAAAGTGCTGTTATTTACAAATATAATGTGGTCTAATTAAATCAAGCTAATTAACATATCCATCACATCAAATACCATTTTTGTGGTGAAAACATTTGAAATTGACTCTCTTTGCAATTTTGAAATGTGCAATACTTTGTTATTTACTATATTCAGCATGCTATACAATAATGTTTAAAGAAAAAAGTCTTATTCCTCCTGTCTACTTGAAGTTTTTTACTGTAAGGGAGCAAAGAAATTTCTTTTCTTTCCATTGTTAGATTTTTAGTTGAGACAGTCTCCTGAAAACAAAAGCCAAATTAACAAAAGAAAAGTAAGCACAATTTTATTAATATATTCTGTACCCATCACATGAGAGAGACACCAGTTCAAAAGTATTTCTTTCTCAATGCAGTGGCTTAGGGGACTTGCTTGAATAGTATTTTAACAAAGAGCCATCAATCCTGTATAGTGACAAGACAAAGGAGAGAGTAGTTTCAGTCTTTTAAAGAGTGGGAAAATGTGAAAAGATAGCAAAATCTGTTCTCAGATTCTTCTGGTACCTGCTGGTGCCTCTTCTGGTCCAATAAACAATTATTGTTTCTGATAAGGAAGAATTTATGTCCTACCATAAGGCAGGTAGAAGCTGAGGCAGAGTGTTTCCCTACATTTTTATTTCTTTAACAATCCTCAATATTTTGAGGAGAAACATTTTGGTTTCCTTCAGTATCCTTTAATTATCATCTCCCCATACTTCCAAACCCACTCCCACTCCCAGGCACTGGTAACCACCATTCTACTCTCTCTTTCTTTGAGTGCAATTGATTTAGATTCCACATGTAAGTGAGACTGTGCAGTATTTGTCTTTCTGTGCCTGGCTTATTTTACTTAGCATAATGTTTTCCAATTCCATCCATGTTGCTGTAAATGACAAAATTTCTTTCTTTTTAAAAGCTGGACAGTATTCTACACCACATTTTTATTATCCATTCATCTGTCAATGGACATTTAAGATCGTTTCCAACTCCT